TGGGGTGAAGCCTGCTTGGGACAAGAACTCTTCTTTTTATTGTTGTATCTCCAGGTCATCAGAAACAGTCATGGTAGTTCTTGTGAGGAATTGGGGCACATGGGAGGGGTGCCAAGTTGCTCTGTGTCTGAGGCTTTGGAATGCAACTGATGATAACAGCAGGAGGATCTCTGAAATCAAGGGCCGCTCCAGTTTTGGGAAATTAAAGACTGGAGCCTCTGAACAGGACAAGGGGATTTAGGAGGAGAAAGCTAAAGTGGACCCAACCAACCATACCCCTTGTCACCCACTTCCCAGGCAAGGCTTACTACCTGTTTTCTATCAGACTCCCATTCAGCCAGGGGAAGGTAGAAACTGAAGCTCGTTTTCCGTTTTTTTTGTTTTTTTTTTTTTTTGTATAGGGGATTGAACTTGGGACCTTTCACTTCCCCTGTGAACCTACATTTAACTTCCAAAAAAATCACCCACTGATATCTCAGACTCCCAAGACAATCCAGGGTTTCTTGTTTTTTAAGCATCCTGTAGAACAAGAGATCAGTTCTCTTGGACTTTCACTTCTACTTCTTGTCAGAAATGACGATGCTGCCAAGGCAGGTCTGTCATAGGAGATTCTGTAAAAGCTTGTCAGCTTAGCAAGGACTGGGCGAACAGAGAACCCACAAATGTGCTTTTAGCATAGGTATAGCGTCTTTTCTGATGAAGGGATTTATTTACTGGTGAAGGAGGGAATTCTGGCTCCATCTTTGCAGAACCTGGCAAGACTGCTGCCTTGGAGAGTCCAGGATAAGAGCAGATGAATGGAGAGGCCAGGGCTGCATTCAGTGGGAAGGGGCCTCTCACAGCTCGTGTGTTTGCAGAGTTAGCCAGTTTCGATGCCTTCGGGGAGCTCCACCACCACTGGGGCACAGTCCTCAGGCTCTGAGGCAAAGTCCCACCGAAACTTCTTGGTCAGATGGGCTTGGAACTTTTCAGCTTTCTTCCTCAGGGTGGGATCCACAGCAATGCTGCAGGCTGAAGAAAAAAAAACCTACAGAGAACAGAGAGTAAGTCATTCCTGAGAACAGAGGGACCAAGAAAGCTGTGGAAATTTCCTCCTGGTGTTCAGCTCTCTGGGGCAGCTGATCAGTTGCTGGTGGCACAGGCCCAGGACACCTGCCGTATCCCCCTGCCCCCACGAAAGAAGGTCCAAACCCAGCTAAGATGCTGGAACAGAGCTGGAATGGAAAATTACTATGCTGGACAGAGGTACCCTTGGAGAATACGGCCAGTGGGACCACCACCACTGTTCCATTCCTGGGGGGTGGAGGAGTGTCTATGAAGCACCTGGGCAGTAACTCAGAGGAACCAGCAACTGCACTAGCTGGGACGAAGAACACACCGAGGCCCTTGGCTAATGAGGCTGAATTGCTGTTCTAATTTTCTAAATGGGTTAGGGACTGCCAGTTTGATGCTTCCATCTGACTTAAAAGCTATCTTTGATGTTTAGTTTAAAGAATGCTATCATTGTTTAAATTGTAGTAAAACACATGTACTTAACATTCAAATAATTTTTTCTAAACCTTTTTAAGTGTACAGTTCTGTGGCATTAAGTACACATACACTGTCATGCAACCATTACCACCAGCCATCCACAGAACTTTTTCATCTTTCCCAACTGAAACTCTGTACCCATTAAACACTAAATCTCTATTTTCTCTTCCCCCAGCCCCTGGTAACTGCTGTCTTCAAGGTTCACCTGTGTTACAGTACATATTAGAATTTCATTCCTTTCCAATTTGAATAATAGTCCATTGTATATATGTACATTTTATTTGTCTTTTCATCCCTTGATGGTCATTTGAGTTATTTCTACATTTCAGGTATAGTGAATAAAGTTGCCATGAATATGGCTGTACAAATACAGTACTTAAGTCTCTACTTTAAAAAAAATTTTTTTTTTTTGGTATAGACCTTGGAGGGAACTGCTGGATCATATGCTAATTCTATATTTAGTTTTTAACTGCCACACTGTTTTCCACAGCAGCTGTACTATATGACATTCCCAGCAGCAGGGCACAAGGATTCTGATTTTTTTTTTTAATTGAGTTTATTGGTACATTTTAGGTATACAGTACAGTTACATTCATCATTGGGATCTTGTACCTTTACATGACAGATCTTGGTTCTCATTTTTTCCCCTTGTCCCTGCCCTCCCTTCACTCCCTCCTCCCCTCCCCATTTACAAACACTTTATTTCCATTTTCTCATATTTTTTTGGATTCTGATTTCTCTATATCCTGGCTAACATTGGTGATTTTCTGTTTTTTGTTTTTGTTAATAGCTAGCTGCTCTAATGGGTGTGACTTTGTATTTCAATGTAGTTTTGATTTGCATTTTCTCTTTGGTTTGGTTTTGTTTTTTGAGACAGGGTCTCATTACGTAGTTGAGACTGACCTGGAACTCACTATGTAGCCCAGGCTGGTCTCAAATTCAGTGATTCGGCTGGGGATTTAGCTCAGTGGTTCAGTGGCCTGCTTTGCAAGTGCAAGGACCCCAGTTCAATCCCCGGTACAAAAAAAAAAAAAAGATTCAGTGATCCTCCTGCCTCAGCCTCCCAAGTGCTGGGATTACAGGCGTGCACCACCGCACCCGGCTAATCTGCATTTTCTTAATGATCAGTGAGCATCTTTAATGTGCATCTTTTACTGGCCATTTGTAAGCTATACATTTCTTTGGCAAAATACAGTTTCCTTTGACCATTTAAAAAATAGGACTGTTTTGTTGAGTTGTATCAGTTCTTCACAGATTCTAAACATTCATCTCTTCTTTGTTTTGGTTTTTAGTTTGTTTTTTTTTTTGGTAATGGGGAACTTGGGACCTTGCTCTTTTGAGGCAGGCACAATGCCACTGAGCTAAATCCCTGGCCCTTCATCTCTTATTCTAATGTTTTCATGAATTTAGTTTTATCTAATACAAACATGGGCAGGGGAAAAGAACAATTTTCTCCACATCTAATAGCCCATTCCAGACGGTTCTGGATCTCAATTCCCTCTAAAAATAACAGCAAACCCACTACTCCTTACACTGTCTTACTGGTCTCAAAGAAGCTTCAGCATATCCAACCGTATCCTCATCAGACCTCACGCTTGCCAGGCAGGCCCTGTGCTGCTGAGCTACATCCCTGGCTCTAGAATATGTATTTTAAGGACATGGAGGATGAGAGGTATGAAATGGCTAAATCAAAGGCATCCAAAAGGAAAAGAATGGTCTTTTCCATACTGCCACCTGCTGCCCCACAGGACCCCAAAGGCATGGACATGAGGGCAGAAGCAGCAGCTCTTTGATTCACATTACCTTATGCCAGCTGGCCTGCAGATCACCATGGAAGAACACCATGCCTCCAGGAGATCTGACTTGACAAAGGTTTGCGGCATCTTTAGAGCTGCTTTTAGGAACAAAATGTCCCTCCTCCCACCTCTCCACAGTCTGTCAGAGGCACCAAATAATTTATCAATAATTATGTGATGGTGCTGGAGAGAAAAGGCTCATCCTGTGGAGGTGGTGGCTTGTGTACCAGACCCTGACTGCCACTGGCTCCCATGATACCCCCTTGTGACGTGGCTTATGGAAAAGCCCAAGCTGAAATGAAATGTTCCAACCTCTATTCTCCTAGTACTGTGCCCAAGGCTCTCACACTGTACTTGTGTCATGGTGGTGTATGCCTGCAAGAGTAGGGAACAGGCTTAATTATCAATGTGCCCCACATAATACATCACTCAGGACCTGGCAGAGAGTTAGAACCCAAAGGATGTTCACTGAATGCTAAGAATGAGACACAGGTTGTCTTGCATTTAGCAATGGCCAGAAGTGGGGGGCTGGAACAAGCTGGCCTCAATCATCATCCACCTTCTCCACACACCTCGAGATATGCCCGAGAGTAGAATCAACTAGAAGTGGGTACAATAGAAAGCTTTAGTTTTAAAACTGCAGCTTCTAATTTGAAAAGTGTTTTGTCTTTTTTAAAGAACTTGTCCATTTAATATTTCTACAAACCTGGCAGGCAGAAGGACAGGAAATTACTACTCCCATTGTACAGACAAGGATGCTAGGTGTGCTGCATCATGCCGTGCTAAACACTGAGCAAGGCCCAGTCCACGTAGGCATATCTATCTCAATTTAATCCTTTCCCCCAAAAGATTGTGCTTTGTTTTGATGAAGACTAAACACATTCTTGATATTTAATTTTCAGCACTGCTTTGTGTGTGTGGTGGCGGCGGTGGGGGGACAGGGACCTGCAATGTGCACGTGCTTCTCTCCAAGTGTCCTCTGCAGGCCTCTAGGACCCAGGGCACAACCAGGTTTATTAAAAAAAAAAACAACAAAACTTCACTGAGGTATAGTCTGCACAAAGTTAAATTCACTCACTGTTAAGTGTTAATTCATCTGAACAACTATACATTGCTATACAACCACCACATGATATGTATGTTCAGCATTCTTTTGGAATTTAGTTGAGTCTCGAGGCCCATGTAGATTTGTGTGGCTATCACTACAATTGGGATTTAGAACAGTTTGGTTATTCCAGAAAAACGCCTTGGTGCTGGCCCTTGGCAGCCAAAGCCTCCCCCTACCCCATCCCCTAGCATCTCTGATTTATTTTTGATCCTACAGTGGCACAAACTAGATACTTTAAAAAATAAATCAGAAAAGATACTTTAAACATACTTAGTTTCCCAACAACAATTTATTCTGATTTTGCTATTTTCAGGTTAACTTTTGCCTTCCTTAGAAAACTTAGCAATAATCTTGCTATTTGATTCACTAAGGTGAAATCAAATAAACATTTTCCAACATCTGTGAGGTATGAATCATCTTAATTTTGGCAGGTTAATCCTAGATATTTTTAAAATACCTTTGAAATAGAATGGTCACATTTTCAAACAAATGCATTTATCTAAAATAAGCATGCCCATTAGGTGTTTTTCTTCAAATATTAAAAAAAAGTATCAACACTTTAATCATTAAATCAATTATAACATTTAAAATTACCCTAGTCATTAATGTGAAAGTTTTTTTTTTAAACCTAAATTAAATAAATTGAGTGCAGTCATGTTACCTTGAGAAATTCAAAGTATTAAGGTAGGTAGCTTTGATGTTATCATATCCTATTTTTTGGTTAATTGAAAAAGAAGAAATTTCCTAATTTTTTCAATTCCCAATTTGGCTTAGAATAAAACTGACCAGAAGTAGAATGTGTTATTACCACTTTCATCTGAAAAAGTGGTGCTAAAATCAAGACTATCACTTTCTTTTTTTTGTTTGTTTGTTTTTTTGAGACAGGGTCTCACTATGTAGTTGAGACTGAACTGGAACTCACTATGTAGCCCAGGCTGGTCTCATCCTCACAGTGATCCTCCTGACTCAGCCTCCCGAGTGCTGGGATTACAGGCATGCACCACCACACCCGGCTTAAAACTGTCACTTTCCAATGATGGCAAGGAAGGTAAAAATCCTGTTGTCTAAGGTAAATTTAAAGAATCTGCAGTATTTTACCTGGGGCTCTAGTTATACATAAGAGTCCACCACAGGCTGCTCTGTGATCATGGGCAGAAATGTTTGAACTCTATCCTCATCTGTACAATGGGATTATAAACTAACTTCTAGCATTATTGTGAGGGCTAAGTGAGCATGCAAGCAATAGCTGATAATAGGAGGTATACGAGCAATAGGTAAATTTATCACACTTGGTGTTAGAAAATTGCTACAGAAATCATTATCAGAGTCAGTGTTTTCCTTAAGAGTTAAAGATGGACATTGGCATTTAGAATATTGGCAAGACACAAAGCTGGAAATCATCTATAGACTACTATATCTAAAAAAGAACCTCCCCCTACAAAAACAGGTTTTGTGACTGTGCCTAAGTGCTATGCAATCAGCAATAAGAATCCTTAGTTTGTATGTAAATCTTTCTAACATATTACTATTAAATTCAGATTATCCTTTCACTGGTTTTAAACAAATTATAGTGACCTAATTTATTTTAAATAAAAGAAAAACTATTTTTGTGAAACAAATAATTTTTATACAAGCTAAATCCAGTAAAAAATCAGTGGCATCTACTCAAAAGTGCCTAACGTAGGAAAGTTGAAAAACAATAGCGGAGGCCATTATGGGGCTGATTTTACCCATGCTAATGCAGCTGTCTTTAACGTCTTTAAGTGCTTACACACACAAACACCAGTTCCTCTCCATGGGCAGTAGCCGTTTAAGCTCCTAAGTAAGGAAGCAGCTCCACTTATTTGCCTGCCTGGGGTGAGAGCAGGCAGCTAGTGAGGAAAACTTTTATGGGTTGATTCATTCAGTCACAAACACCCTGAGTGAGTGCCCCCATGCGGGGGACTGGATTCTCACTGCCAACATGGCATCAGTATGATTCTCCATTAAAAAAAAAGTTTCTAAATAACCTTGTCCATATTGTCCCTTTTAAAACATCAATAATCCCTTAAGCTCATGGACAAATGTCCCCCTTCAGTTAAGCCATTTGTGACCCTCTGTCCCTCAAATCTCAATCCCAGTCAGAATGAATCACTCTCTCTTTGATGTTTCTAATGCTCTTCAATCAGACTTCACTATTTATACTGCCACAGGAATACTCTTTCCATCTAAAAACAACCAATAACACAAAATGAGAGAAGTGTTAGGCTTTGGTTAGGTGTTGAAAATAACCAGTTGAACAAAAGACTGGCCTTGTGTTAAAGGAGCTCATGGCTTTGTGGGGGTGTCAGGCAGAGAATATATTTATTTCAGAAACCAAAACTCATGCAATATACTAGTGATAAATATACAGCAGGTTAAAAGTATGGAAAGGAGGGAGAGAGATGAGACAGCCCCAGAGAGGGATACCTACAGGGCATGTTGTAGAAAGAACAAGTACACACCAGGTAGAGGAAAAATTAGGTTCCATCCAGAAGGCATGAAACTCAGATGTAAAGTTTTGCTTATGTAAGGTGTAAAGGTTCTACAGACCTTCTGGTTAACTTTATGCTCAGAGTTGTACAATTAGTTGTACGTTAGTACAATACTGTACTGAACATTTAAAAATCTGTTAATAAGAAGATAAAATAAATTTCTTATGTCTTCTTTACAATTAAAAAAGAAGGTCTAGGCATTGTGGCACATGCCTAAATCCCAGATACTCAGGTGCCTGAGGCAAGAGAATCAATTGAGCCCAGAAGTTCAAAGCCAGCCTGGAGAACATAGTAAGATCTCATCTCTTAAAAAAACAAATAGAAGAAGGCATGAAATAGTATGGTCTTTCTTCAAGGGAACCTGTGAGGAGCCCACTGACACTTGTTTGATGGTAAAACAGTGAATGGAAAGAGAAGCTGGAGAACAGGAAAAGAGCCAGATCAGAATGTGCCTTGGAACCAGTGTTTGGGCTTTCAATTTCCTAGGCAGTGAGGAGCCACAGAGAAACACGATTAGTGCTACATTTTGGAACAACTCAGGTATGGAATGCGGATGGACTAAGGTAAGCATGAGGGCTAATAAACTCTGATGCAGTCTAGGCGAGACCAAAAGGCCTGGGCTAGGGTAATGATGCAGGGGCAGGACTACCTTCTCAAACACGGAACACTATATAGAATTACTTGGTTAATTCATCTATTTAGTTTCCCACCAAAATGTAAGTTCTACTCAGGAATTCTGTCTTGCTCACAATTCCACCCCCACAGCCTTGTATACAACAGAGGCTCAGTCAATACTTGCTGAACAATTCCCTTGAGGGCAAGAACCCTGGCTCTTGTGTGTATTCCTCAACTCTTTTGGTATAATGTTATATATAAAAAAGGCTCAAAAATATTTATATTTTGGTACTGGGGATCAAACTCAGGACCTTGCACTTGTGGGGCAGGCATCGTGCCACTGGGCTAAATCCCCAGCCCTTTTGATGTATTTTTAAAGGCATACGTCCTGCCGGGCATGGTGAATATATTTGTAATTCCAGCACTCAGGAGGTTGAGGCAGGAGTACTGCTGTGAGTTTGAGGCCAGCTTGCTGGACTACATAGTGAATTCAAGGGTATACTGAACTGTATAGTGAGACCCTATCTCAAAAAAAAAAAAAAAAAGGCAGACCTCTGTCCCGATTTTTTCCAAATAACAACAAATTTTCTGAAAAAATAATTTTTTCTTGCACAACCCACGTGGATATCTAGCAATCCAGCTGGGTCCTTTTCTGCTTTCTTTCCTATACTGGTGCAACAGTATCCATTTCATATAAGGGGGAACGCACCACTCCTTTTGGCTGTAGTCACTGTTGGAGACAAGTCAGCAGTCTGATCCTTCCTCATACTGCTCTACAACCCACAACCAATAACTCTGGTGGAGCAGAGTTCTACACAGAGGAAGAATAAAGAGATTTAATTTCTCTGTTACATCAAGAACCAATAAAAGGGTAGTTTAATATTCTTCTGAAGCAGATTACACCAGGTGCAGCCATCATCTGATTTATCCCTATGGTCTAGCACCAGTTCAACTGCTAGAGTTTCAAGTCAGCCTACCCATAGCACTCTTCCAACAGCACCTTAGTTTCAGAAAAGCATTCTGTATCTCCAAGAAAGAAGGCCCTCATGGTGTCTCCACCAGTCAATCAAGAACCCTTTCTGGGATAGCCACACTGTTTCTGGCATACAGGGGCATAAGCACAAGCACAAATCCTGACTTCTACTATGTGGTTTTTAATGATTTAATCTTTCTCAGTCTCATACTCTCCACTGCCTTACAGGGTTCCAAGAGATTAGATGAGGGAACATATATAATGTGATAAATATGGTGCCTAGTACCCAGAGGCATTTAATGAATGTTAGTTTCTTCCCTTACCCCAAATGAGAGAGGGAGGTAAGGGAAGAGCCACACTGTATGAAACAGGCCTGGCCCGGGTGGGGGGGCAATGGGGGGACTAACGCATAGGGAAAAGAGCACCTTGTGGGAGAAAAGGTATGGAAACAGCTAGCTGCTTTTGTCTTTTCTATACTTGAGAAAGTTACAAAATATGAGTGACAAGAAGCTGTCCTAAGTATAAAGGAAACTAATCTGTTTGCAAAGGAGGAAATACAACAGGATGAAGATTACAAGTTGTTTGAAGCTTCTTCCCTAATTACCACTCATAATGAAAATTTAATTGCCAAGTTAAAAGCAAATTTCGCTTTTTCTGTCAGAGAATCTCTGCAGAAACTGGCACATTTTGTTTGAACAGGAAATCAAAGTTTCTTTAATGCTTAAATGAGATCTAAGAAGCTGCAGATGTTTCACTGGGAATAACAAGCTTCAAAACTCTGCCCTATTGGGTTGCAGCAACTTATGGCTATAGTGAGAAAAGAAAAACTGTTTTGAGCTGATGCTGAGGTTCGGATAAAATTTCTCCACTAATGGTTCATGTGTTGGAAGCTTGGTCCCCAGAGCAGTGATACTGAAAGAAGGACCCAATAGAAGGTTGTTAGGTCACTGGAGCAGTGCCCTTGGAAAGGATTAATACACTGTCACCAGCTTGAACCACTGAAGGTAAATGCATGACTATCCCATTGAGCAGCTTGTACCACTGGTGATACAAACACATCTAATCACTTTTATCAATTTTTTTACTAATAAAATTAATAAAATGCTGACCGATGGGACAGTCATGCATGTATCACGGGTAGGTCAAGCTGCCCAGCAGAGACATGTGAATTATGAACCTTGTATACCCCATTGTGAATGTATTAATGTAGTTTTCATGTGATCCCTGGGTTAGTTCTTGAGGGAGGATTGTTATAAAAGAATAAGACAGCCATGCCCTGGACTCCCTGGTTTTGTCTAGGCGGGATCTCTTCCTCTCGTAAGATATGATATGATCTGTTGTTAAGGTCTGCTCTGGAGGCCAAACCAATGAGGCTATCTGATTGGAACTTTCAGCTTGCAGAACTCTGAGATAAATAAACCTCTTTTTTTTTTTTATAAGTAGCCTGCCTCAGGTATTTCATTATAGGAATGAAAAACTGACCAAGACAACTTAGTAACCCCAACAGGTGAAGGAGATTCAAATTCTAAATACCCGCACCGCTATACCCTCTGAGGATGAGGTAAAGAACATGTGGTGCAGAGAGAGGGTCTCTGCTATAGAGGAAGTTACAACAGAGTAGGAGACAAAACTAGGAAACACCTTAAGGTTAGTAATTGAAATTAAGAAAACTTAGGGTCATGGAAGCAACAAACAAAAAACTAATTCTTCTGAAAGGCTTGCATACCCTTGCTTCATTCTGACTCACTTGAGTGTCAGCCAGAAGACTGCTCACCTGTAAGGTGCTGGTAAGGAAGTTGTCCTGGGAGACAATGTCCACAAAGAAGTCAGCAGGGATCTCACCAAGCTGGTGATACAGGATGGAGATAAGGTTGATGTACAGAGTGTGGTGCTTCACCATGGCTGCTTCTGACCGGCACAGGAGGTTCAGGAGCCGCTTCCAGTGCTCAAATGCCTCATATACATTGCCCAGCAAGAAACACACAAAGGCAAACTGGAGTTCACCTGAAAGGTACAGGGAGGAGAAATGATCATGAGGCCGAAGAACATGATGCCAGCAAACTTAACCCCACATATTTCACAGAGCCATCAATTCCACTGGCCTCAGAACCAGGGACCTTTTATCTTTGTTATTCCAGCAGAGCCTAGCATGGGATTTTACACCTAGTAGGTGCTCAGTAAATGTTCGCTGAACTGTTTTAAATTCAAGCCAGGAAGACCAAACCACGGCTCTGAGTTTCTACAAAATCATACTGCAAGACAACAGATAAATTAGTTTTTGGTTGGCATTTTAACAGTTTATAGAATTTGTCCATTGATATGCTCAGTGGACCCCAACACCGACCGCCCACCAGAATTACTAGGAGAGCTTGTTAAAAGCAAAGCTGTCCAAGTACCCTCAGGGATTTTAGATGACAAGAGATGATGGTGCCAGGATTTTTATTTTATTTTTATTATTTTTTTTTTGTGTGGTACCGGGGATTGAACTCGGGTCCTTGCACTTGCGAGGCAGGTGGCGGAACCACTGGGCTAAATCCCTGGCCCTGGGATTTTTAATTTTAACAGCTTCTCAGGTGATTCTGATTCAGAAGACTGCTCCAGGGTCAAGGAAATGCTACACGACACACTGTCCTCTGTTCAAATTCTCAAAGTGAGAAAAAAATATGAGAAAATAAAAAAATGGAAATAAAGTGTTTGTAAATGGGGAGGGGAGGAGGGGGTGAACGGAGGGTAGGGACAAGGGGCAAAAAATGAGAACCAAGACCTGTCATGTAAAGGTACAAGATCCCAATGATGAATGTAACTGTACTGTATACCTAAAATGTACCAATAAACTCAATGAGAAAAAAACAACAACAAACAAAAAGCAAATTCTCAAAGTGATCACAGATGGTAGTGTGTGTGTGTGTATGTGTGTGTGTGTGTGTATAATATATATCTAAGTCTTTCACAATGTGAACAGCAGAAAGATAAAATAGATTCCTTACTGGATGGGAACACTTGTAGAGCCTCCCCAAACAAGAAAATTCAAGAGTACTTACTCCAGGGCTATCCTGCCATCCAGCTTATTTTAAAATCAGATTTCTGTGATTTAATCTATATAAGCAGCTTGACAACTAAGAGCATCTGGAGCCAAACTGCTTGGATTCAAATCTTAGCTCTATTACTTAACAATTGTGTGACCTTGGGCAAGTTATTTAATCTATTTATATTTCAAGCCAGGTGTGGTTGCAGACGCCTGTAATCCCAGCAGTGGGGAGGCTGAGGCAGGAGGACCACTGTGAGTTCAAAACCAGCCTGGGCTACATAGTGAGTTCCAGGTCAGTCTCAACTACATAGTGAGACCATGTCTCAAAAAACAAAAAAAAAAAACAACAACAAATAAATAAATAAACAAACAAATAAAAATTAAAAAAATTTATATATTTCAATTTATTTGAGAGTTATAGTAAAGATTAAATGAATTGCTATAATGCATGTAAAACATTTAGAATGCTCAGCACAAAGCAGCACTAAAAATGTTACTAATCTCAGTTTACACTGGATGCCTGTCTCAAAGAAGCCTCATGATCCAGAAGCCACTGTCCATGGGAAAGCAACAGGGTCTCTGGTTGCCACAGATATACTGTGACTGGTCAGAAATGTCCTCTCTGGCTTCAAAGGTGACTGTAAATTTAACAACGTATATATATATATGTGGGCCACATAAAGAACAGATTAGCACACCATCAAATGCCTCCTTATTGCGTGGCATTTGATTTGAAACCTCCAGAGATGTAGGAAAACTAGCCTGTTCCAAGCTTGTGGAACCACATCTGATTTGCGTGAGTCATTATCTGGTCTAGATATTTTGGATGTTTGACCAAAATTTCAAAGTTCAGCCAAATTTTCTTTGTGTAATAATTTACTTCTCCAGTTGGCAGTTATCTGGTTAGTTTGCAAAAATTAAACATTATCCTGTTCTTTGCATTTAGGATACTTAAACTTGTGCGTTTCTGACCATTACAGTTTGGACCTTGAATGTTCCCCACACTTGCAGTAAAGGCTTGGTCCCTAGCTAATGGCACTACTGGGAGGTGCTGAAAATTTTAGGAGGTGGGGCCCAGTCGGAGGAAGTTAGTGTCACTGGGGATGTGCACTTGAAGGGAATCCTGGGACTCCTTGGCCCCTTCCCCTCTCTTTATTTCCTGGACTGCCATGAGGTAAACAGCTTCAACTCTATGACATGCTACCGTCACAATGTTCTGCCTACTACAGGCCCAGAAGCAATGAAGCTAAGTGATCATGGACCAAAACCTCTGAAACCACGAGCCAATGAAATCTTTACTCCTTTCAGTTAACCTTCTCAGTTATAATTTCACAACAATGGAAAGCTGGTAACACACCAACTTTTCTAAAATTGAAATCACAAGATTATTTTGCTTAATTGCAAGTTTAAGAGTTAGAAAACAGGATTTTTATTCATTCTTAAACCAGGATTTCAAGTGTTGCTATTTACATCAAAATATGTACTATGGAACACTAACAGACACCCATTAAGCCGGGCGTGGTGGTGCAGCCTGTAATCCCAGCACTCAGGAGGCTGAGGCAGGAGGATCGCTGTGAGTTCGAGACCAACCTGGGCTACACAGTGAGTTCCAGGGAAGTCTGAACTACATAGTGAGACTCTGTCTCAAAAACCGAAAAAAAAAAAAAAGACACCCATTAAAAGGTCCCATATAAAGCCAGGGATTTAGCTCAGTGATGCCACCGCCTGCCTCACAAGTGCAAGGTCCCAAATTCGATCCCTGGTACCAAAACAAAACAACAAAAAGGGTCCCATATATCATTAACTAAGCCAATGATATAAAAAGTCCTGTATTCAAATATTCCACTATCCTTAAAATAGGAAAATATGTAAAGTATTTATATAGTTTGTAAAAAAAAGTGCATAGCTATTGAAGACATGACAAAGATTTGCTCTCACTAATACTGAAATAGAAATGAGATGCCAATTTTCAGTCATTCAAGCATTTGCTAAAACACCATGCTTAGTGTTATCAAAGGTGATAGGCAACAGCCTCCCAATAACAGCAAGGATGTAAAATAATCTCCTGACAACATACATACTCTGATTTAACAGTTCTAGTCTTACATGTATGTGTAAGTACAGTACACAAAAGGATGTTCAGGAGATCCTATTTGTAACGGGAATAAAGGGGGTTCCTGCAGGTTCATCAACAAAGAACTGGTACAGTAACTATGGGACACCAAAGAGCCACTAAAAGGGGTATATGTTTCAGTGACATAAGAAATTTTTGTATTAGAGCAGACTACAAAATAGTGTACTTTAATCCTTTATAAAAGTCATATATAGCCAGGTGTGGTGGTGCACACCTATAATCCCAGCATTTGGGAGGCTGAGATCACTATGAGTTCAAGGACAGCCTGGGCTACACAGTGAATTCAAGGCAAGCCATAACTATACAGTGAGACCTGTCTCAAAAAAGTTATACATATAGTATATAAATATATAAATGAATTTTTAAAAGGCTAAAATGTATACAAAAGAATGAAATGAGATACAGAAAATATATAGGAAAAAATAAAAATAAAAGTAAATATACCAAATGTGAAAATGGTTATTTCTAGGTGGTAGGATTTAGAGTGAATTTTAATTTTTTTCTTCTATGGTGAATATCTATTATTTTGTAATAAGAAGGAAAAGCAACAATAAAACCATAACAATTAGGGCCGGGGATTTAACTCAGTGGTTCTAGCGCCTGCCTGACAAATGCAACAACCCAAGTTCGATCCCCATACCAAACAAAACAAAACAAAACCATAACAATTAAAAATCACTCTGAGCCAGGTGTGGTGGCACACACCTTTAATCCCAGCACTCAGGAGGCTGAGGCAGGAGGAATGCTGTGAGTTTGAGACCAGCCTGGGCTACATAGTGAGTTCCAGGTCAGTCTCAATTACATAGTGAGAACCTGTCTCAACCCCGCCCCCCAAAATAAATAAATAAAAATCACTGTGGAGCTGGGCATGATGGCACACGCCTGTAATCCCAGCACTCGGGAGGCTGAAGCAGGAGGATAGCTGCGAGTTTGAGACCAGCCTGAGCTACACAGTGAGTTCCAGAGCAGTCTGAACTACACAGTGAGCCCCTGTCTAAAAAAAAAAATCACTGTGATGGTGTAAACTAGTCATCTTAAGATTCTGGAGCAAACTGAGGGGGCAGGTGGGGAGTACTTGGAACACAGACCTAGCCTAGGAACCAGGAGTCCTGGGCTCTACTCTCTGTTCCACCACTGTGTGAATAAAATCCTTTTCTTCAGCAGGGCTTGTCCATATCAGAGGTTTCTAACCACAGAAGTATATGCCCTGGGATCACCCAGGCTGCTTGATTATTGATTGGTTAGATAGCCAGATAAATTACTGAAGCTCCTCTACAGATATGATTCAGATTTTCCAAGGGTAAGGGTAAACACTCATTAATATCTTTAAGAAGTATACTGGTTGAGCCTGCCTCCTAGCCAGATTTGGGAATCATTCGACTAAATGCATCTAAAACACCCTACTACCCAAAGAAAAAAAACCCAACAGAAACTACTCTACTAACATCACCCCCCTGGCCCATCCCCAAAAACTCCCATTCCTTCTCACCGAGCACATCCTGGGGGCTACTGGGGAACTGCTTGCTGAGCACAGTCTCCAGTGCATAGCTCAAGTCCATGCTGTGCCTGGTAATCTCTGCTGGTGTAGCACCTGCTGGGAACATCTGTGTGGGTAGCTCTGAGAAGCGGATCTCTGTCCCAGCTCTGGGCTTCATCTCAGGCAGTCGAGCTAGGCCCTCCTGATAACTTTTGCACTCAGTGCCACAGAGGGGTAGATTCTGCCCCACCCGGTCCTTGGTGTGCTTCATGGGTCGTACAGGCAGCACATCTGAGAAGGCACAGATCTGCCGGCTTTCAGGCTGCAGCCTCTCCATTGTGGCCTCACTGACAAAATTGGTGAGTGAGATCCATTTCTTGAGTGTGGCATATGGGTAAGGTCCCAGAAACTGGTCCAGCTCCTGGAGATTGGCCCTCATAGCTTCCACTTCAGCTTCTGGGGCTGGAGACAAGTCTACCTCTTCCCGGAGAGCATTCCAGCGCAGGACTGTCAGCCCTCGCTGCTGCAAGCTAAGAAAGAAGCCCATACGAGGACCCACATCCGTAGGATTGGCTTTGTCCACCGAACTGTAGTGAAGAAAGTGGACACCTGGTGGGATCATCTTCACACCCCGGAACTTGGGTCCTACCTCCCAGGAGTTATAGTCAATGCCAAACTCTGTCCCCCTGGGCACATTCAGGATGACCACAGTGGCCCCTTCAAAGAAGAGGTGCTTGGCTAGGTCAGGGTCCATCTGCATGGCAGCCATGGGGCCAATGGTAGGTGACCCAAAAGGAGAATCCTTCTTGTCTTCTGAAAAAGCTGAGAGAAAGAAATGTTAATCAGATGCTGAACAAGGTGGTACATACCTGTAATTCCAACACTGTAGGAGACTCAGACAGGAAGGATTCAATTTGAGCCCAGCCTGGTGACTCAATGAGACCCTGTCTCAAACAAACAAACAAACAAACATGCTGGAAATGTAGCTTACCCTGGGCTCATCCCCAGGTACCACAAAAATAAATAAATAAATAAATTTATTTCTTTTATCAAAACTTGGGGAAGGTTGCTGCATTTGCTGAGCATTCTCTAAGTGCCAGATGTTGAATCAGACCCCTGACATTATTACCCCCCTTAATCCTCATGACAATCCTGCATCTGTTTTATAATAAGAAAAATGAGGATCAGAGAAAAGAGGAATTTTGTGTTTTGGAGCAAGAACACTCACTTCACAGCTAGAAAGACAGCAATTAAATAAAAATGGTAAGTGCAAAAAAACAGAAGGCCCAAATTTAAGTCTGTGTTCCTGTCCCTTCATGTCAGTGTTCTTTCTATTGGTCACTCTTAGGATCTACTCTCAGAAGTCTCTCACAACAGAGAACGAGGGTGGAAAAAGCCTGCATGATTCATTCTGAACAATAACTACTCCAAAATCATCTAAAGGTACCCTTCTGCCCAGAATTTATCAGTGGAGAGTACCAAAAATTGGAGAAGGATAGTTAAATCAAATATATATCCAGTTTTCCACCAGCATCTAAAACTTACCAAAGGTTTGAGTGGAAAACTTTTCAACCATAAATCTCCCTTTCTTTACAAAACCAAACTGTAGGAAGTGAAACGACTTCTCAGACAGCCACAATCATTGGCAGTTGTGAACCATTTACTCAGAATGAACTCATAGCAGGGCTAGGATCAGTATTTAAAGGAGAAAGACTTTAGAACACTTATTTTGCCTACTTCTCAAATTCCCATGAAGAAACACTGATAATCTCTGTCGGCAGACACTGCCTCATGGTATTTGTAAAAATAGTTACAATATGTACTTGTTTAAACCAATCAAAGACCTTATTCAATTCCACAAATATTCATGAGTTCTATGCTATAATCTTTGCTGGGTCTCAAAAGAAACATCCACAGAATAAGACAATTACTGCCATCCAGACATTTTTAATTTAGCTATAGAAATAAGACCTCAGAATTTCACAAACAGAATAACCGACTGTTTCTTTTTACTCTTCTTACTTTAACAAAACTGTGGAAAGATCAATAAATACTTTTGCAAAAGTGTCAGGAGACTATTTTATCCAAAAATCACTACAAGTGACTATCTAAATTAAACTGTAAATTACAACTTATTAATGGGTTAAGGGATCAATTTAGAAGGTTCTGGCCAGGATTACTTCTTTTACAAAAAAATAACATAATTTTTTAAATATCACAACGCGTCACACATATTTGTTGCTTGTTTTGTTTTTGTGGCACTGAGGATTTGACCCAGTAAGCTAAGTAAGCGCTCTACCCCTGGGCTACACTTCTAGCCCAGGGATAGGTATTATTTTCTGAAACTCTGTGTATCTGTATGAACATCTGGTCATAACATAAAATGTATGTTACTGTAGGTAACAGTCCAAAAAGTTTGAAAGACACTATTCTAAATATGTGTATCTTCTATTTGGAAGTAGGAAGAACATGTTTAAGTGGGAAGGGGAACAAGGGCGGGGAGGAAAAAGGGAAAAAAGAGAATGGAAGGAAAAAATGGAAACAAAGCTTTGTAAATGGGGAGAGGAAGAAAGGATGAAGGAAGGGGAAGGGAATGGGGAAAAAAAGATTTAAGATATATTATGGATAGGTACAAAGTCCTTATGATGAATGTGATCAATGTGTATGACAAATACACACTGGTAAGAAATAAATAAAATATTTGTATCTTTTCTCTCCCTGTACATAACTTGGAATTCAGAGAGTAATTAGCAAACATCTGCTGAATGAACAGAATTTCCATATAGAATGATTGCTCATCAGTTAGCCATCTTCCCTGGTGTGTCTCTAATGCTCTTCGATGAGATACTTCTTTAATTCTAAACACTACCACTCTTCCATTCTTTTCATTATATATCCAGCAGCTGGTACATGACCTGGCACTAGGAGAGCTGGAAAAAGATTTACCGAATGTGTATAGGTCTCTGCTGCGTCCCAATCTTCCTCACGGCCCTAGAATGCAGGAAGTCACATCTAATCACACCCTCCACCACCTCCCTAATCCAAACTATCATCTCTCACACAGAAAGTGTTGGCCCCTTAATCCATTCTCTACCCAACAGAGAGAATGACCTTTTCAGGGCTGGGGATTTAGCTCAGCGGTTCAGTGGCCTGCCTTGCAAGCGCAAGAACCCGAGTTCAATCCCCAATACCAAAAAAAAAAGGAAAAAAAAATAATAATAAAAGAAAAAAGAATGACCTTTTCGAAATGCCAATCTAATCATACCACCACCCACACTTACCCTCTTGAGTGGCTTCCAATGTGGCTCTGGGGAAACCAAAATTCTTGCCATGATCTAAGTCCTCATTCATGGTCTAGCTCTTGGCAGTCCCTCAAGCTTGTTTCACGCCACACTCCCTCCCTCCAACCTCGAAAACTCTATTCCAGCCCCGCTAGCCTCTCTTAGGCCCTCAAATTGGAGAAAACTCTTCCCACCGCACTTCCTTAAATCATTTTTATGATCTCACCTCATTATTCACCTCCCCAATAAAGCTTCCTTGAACTCAGTGTGATACACTCAGGGTGTGTACCTTGTACCTTTCCACTTGAATTATACGGTTACAATTTTACATGTTTGATTGAAATTTGTCACCAAGAGACTTGAGTCTCTCTGTATCCCTAGCACACGTCAGCCTCTTAGTAAACAGTTAATTAAAACATAATATGCATTTTGTAGGCAAGAAACAAAGCTCAGCTTGGGGTAAGACCTTACCCAAAGTCCCGCACAGAGTACGGGAAAAACCAGGTCGGGCGCAGCTAAGGTATCTGGGCCCCAAGCTGTACAGCTAGAAAAAAAAAAGAAAGAAAGAAAGAAAAAAAGAAAGAAAGAAAGAAAAGAAAAAAGAAAGAAGCTACTCCATGCGCCCCGGGAAGTCCTGGTGACAGTGTCTCCAGAGACACCACGACCCACTCACTACCAGACCCCAGACCTATACGCTGCCGTACTGGCAACGTGGCCTAGTTCAGGATACTCCGCGATTCCAAACCAAAAAGAGGGTAGCCTGGCCACACGCAAATGGAAATCAGAAGAAAAAAAAAAAGAGGCCAGCAGGCCCCACTCACCTCCTTCACCCTTCACTCGGGTACCGCGGAAACGGACCGGAAGTCCTGCCCCTGTGGCGCCGGATGGGAGCAACAGTGAGAGAAGTCCCGCGGAGACCTCGGTCGCGGAAGGAAAGGTCCGTACCTACAGGTCCCGCTGGGTCAATTGCTGCTACTATGAGCTTCTCATTTTACCTCCTCAATGTGGACAACAACTTTAATTAAACTATTACCTTTTATATTCCCTTCCAGAAACATATCCACCAGCCGTAGTCATTTGGTCTCAAGCATTCCTAGATCATTGACACATGGGCCACATCATGACTACCCAATACCCACAGTCAGGCTCTTAATTTTGGTTCTTAGCCAGTCTGAGTCACAGTGTCAGAGCTGGCCCCATATCACTCAATTGTAGCTTTCTAGTCACACTCAAATCTTGGTGAAAGCTCCTGAAACCCAGTCCCCACCCGGGAAGGAGCCAGTGGATCTCAATATCAAGGGCAATTGCATCAGTCCCTCTGGCCTTGATCACCTAGTGTCTTTTCTAAACATACCTGAGTTTGGGGAAGCTGCCTGTCTTGCTCTGCATTGTTTCCCTGGAGCCTAGCACAAAATCATCTCACTGCGTATGTTATGCATCAGTTAATGGTAGTAATATGTATTCACAAATGGCTTCTAATTGTGGGCCTAGCCCTGTCCTAGGTGGCTGTATTATGGGGAGCTAACTTTAGATAGAAATTAATATACAGTCAGAAAGGGACTAGGATGTCAAGGAAATCAGCAGAAAAAATAAAGACATTATTATGGCTGTAGGCCCATCTGAAGATTAGGCCTCAAGATAAAGATGCAGTGGCCAAGCCCACATGCCTCCCTTAGGAGATATGCAGTAACTTGGAATTATATTATTATCACCTGTTCCAACAAAGTCCTAATGGATATCAATTGCTCAGGTGAGTGATCAGAGCATCTGGACCCATCTCTTCCTAAAAATGCCTTTGTTCTTTCCATGTACCCTTGCCCTGTGACCCGCTTCCCTATTAGGAAATATTAGCTAAGTAGCTATACTTGTAATCCTATAGGTTGATCATAATTTAGACCCACATTCTACCCATCTCCTGATTTTGCTCTATTAAAATTTCTCAGAGAATTAGGCTGTGGTAATTCACTTTTGGGTCTCCTCCTGTTTTCAGGAGCTACATCTCTCAATAAAATTTTCCTATTCTCTCTCTCTCTTTTTTTTTTTTTTTCCTGTACTGGGGATCAAACTCAGGTCCTCGCACTTGTGAGGCGGGTGGCAGCACCACTCAGCTAAATCCACAGCAATTTTTCCTACTCTTACCTCCATTGTTCCTTAGAATTCATTCTTCAATTTCAGGAAACATGAATTCAGTGTATTTGACATCTCAGAGGTGGGAGTTGTTATACCTTTTCCTGTATATCAGTTGTATCAGTCAGGGATCCAACAAAGAAGCACAGCCAGTAGGGGATATATATTAATAATTTACTTCAAGGAATTGTCTTAAGTAGTTGTAAGAGCTGATTATGAAACCAAGAAGTTGAGATGGATCTTTAAAGATTAGGATTTGTAGTGGTTCATGCTGGTGCATGCATGTAATCCCAAAAATCTGTGAGGCTGATGCAAAAGGACAGCAAGTTTGAGCCCAGTCTGAGCAATTTAGTGAGACCCTGTCTAAACAATAAAATAAAAATAAAACCGTAGCATTTTTGGTAGTTAGAGACCACCATAGGGATAGAAGGTAAACTCCTGGGCCCTTATCTTATGCCTCATTAAAAGAATCATTAATGTTTTCTTCTGAGGCTGATGGGGACTTAAAAGTGGTTTTTCCTAAAAATTATGTCTCTTCACTTGTGCTTACAGTGCCCAATAGGAAATTACAAACAAAGATTTACCTTCATTTTTTAAAACTCTGAATCAAATCCCTTCTCAGCTCTGCATATAAACATATTAGTCATTGAGGAAGTGTCTGTCTAAAAGTTGGCAAAACAAGGTTTATTCATTCTAAATTTGCCCAGCCTCCCTCAGTCTCCTTCAAGATGGAGGACATCAAGATAAGAAATTTACAGGGACAGTGAGCTACATCCGGAAGTCTCCATTGCTGTAAACCTATATTGGATTCTAGCAGAGCCTCACATGACCGAAGCAGTTCCCAAGCAGAGACCATCACCTCATGGTAAGTGAATTGACCCTCAAGCCATTAAGGGCTCCTCCAGAGCTACAAAACTAGGTCTTGGGTAATGACTAACCAGACTTTAGCCCCTCCATAGCACCCTATAAAACTGATCTCTATTCTTTTGTGAGCTGACCAGTTTGATCCACCACTTCAGACCTATGCCCCGCTTTAGTTCCTCAAACTGAAGCCCTTTCCATATTTTCTCTTATTTTCCTTTCTTAGAATCCCAGGTTGACTTTTGTCTAAACTGCCCCCTTACCGGGGTTCATTTTCTCTCTTTCCAGGTAAAGCCATTCCCTACAAATTTATACTGAATGCCTCAGTTTCAGTTCCGTGCATTATCACTAATGCAAGGACCCACACAAGCCAGTGACACTTCTACCCCTAGCCCTAGTGCCAAGGGGGTTGCAGTAGAATTAAATTTTCAACATTTTCTGGGCATGGTGGTGGGAAAAAGCCTTGTGGGCATGGTGATGGATCAAAGCCTATGAATCTACATGTGCATATTTCCTGGCTTTTTGTGGGGAGGGATACTGTGGATCAAACTCAGGACTTTGCACTTGCCAGTCAGGCATGACACCACTGAGCTAATCCCCAGCCCTCCTGGCTTTTGTTCTAATCCCTCTATAAATTTGCCACGACCACTCCAGTAGAGTCTGTGTGACAATGCCGGTCACCTGGCAGAAACCAGACCAGAGGTATCGTCCCCACGGGGTTAAGCCTCCTGGAGGTCCTTGGCACACACCGCATGCAAAGTCAGCCGTGAAGAGAATAGCTGGCCTCTCTGCCTGCAGTTTGGGGACATTGGGTTCATCTATAATTCTGTTCTATTTTGTCTTTATTACTATTTGTTCATTATCTGTAGAATTGTATTCTGGGACCAGGAAAGGTTAGGAACAATTAGATGTTCCCAGAGATGTGGAGATATTGAGGCACAAGAGGACGGGCGGCCAAAGTGCTGACCCTGAGCCCCGGACTGTGAAGTCCTGAAGGTGAACCTGAAGGTGACATGCTAACACCAGTCCTTTGTCTTACAAACTTCCCCTTCTGACTGCGTATAGGTGTGGTCTTACCTTGACTTAATGGTCTTAGCTTTTGTGATGGTATATAGGTGTGGTCTTACCTTCACCTTGTGGTCTTAATTTTTACAGTACTATTGTCTATCTTACACCTGCCTGTGACTGGAATCACTCTTGTGGTGTGCCCTTGAAACTAGTATATAAACACCTGGAGTTAGAAATAAAATTGCAGCAGCATTGGCAAACTTCACCTCGGTGTTGAGTGCTTTTGTCTGACTGTCATCGCCGAACCTGCTCCCACCTTTCAGAGAACCTGTATCTCCTCGTGAAATCCCGTGTATGCTGCCCTACGGTCGGTAGCATAAATTGAAGCACTTCTGTGCATTTAATGGAGGTGGACTAGTTTCTCTCTCAATTTGGCCAATTATGAATCAACTCATTTTTCCATTTGTACAGGTTTTTCTTGTACTCTTAATGATGGATGGGCCCAGATTCAGGCAGGGCATCTGGTAATAGCTAGGCAATACCAAAATCCACAAGACAGTCCACTTGGGTACTTTTTCTTGGTAACTAGTTATCAGCATTCCCAATCTACGAAAAAGAATATTTGAGATTCAGAGAAGGATTATACAGCCAGAGACTGGCAGCTGCAAACCACAATCTGACTGGCTGTTCTTGTCCCTGTGCTGCTGCTCCTTAGCTTGTCTGTCATAATTGTTCAGTGACAGCTGGACACGCCAGTCTGTCTCAGTCAAAATCCATCTCTTAGGAGGTTGCAAACTAGGCTGGCCCCTGCAGTCATGGTTAATCACAGTGAGCTGCTGCAAGATTAACCAGAGGCAACCTCCACAATCACGCACATCTATTTCACCCTGTCTTGTCTTGTTTCACTTCCTGCATAAAGCTCATCTCTCTCCCTGCCACTCCCCATTCGCAGACTTAGGTACTGAGCTCTATGGTCTGCTCTCAGAGTTCCTTCTTCCACGGGGCTTGCTGTCTTCTCAGCAACCCCAGGGCGGTGTACACTGGACATGGGAGCTGTAGGCGATGGACAAGGCATGTCTGTACATAATAGGGTTTCTCAATATTGGCACTGCTGACATTGGGATAAGAGAATTCTTTGCAACTGACAGCTGTCCTGTACATTGTAGGATACTTAGCATTTCTGGGCTCTCATTTCTAGAGGTTGGTAGCACTCCTCTATTGTGACAACCAAAAATATCTCTAGACATGGTGGGGTCAGGGCAAAATCATTCCTTTTATCACCCCAGATCAAAAACACCAATCTGGCCCGGTGTGGTGGTGCATGCCTGTAACCCCTGGGAGGCTGAGGCAGGAGGATCGAAGCAAGTTCAAGACCAGCCCAGGACTAGATGGCGAGTTCGAGGCCAGCCTGAACCGCATATGGAGACCCTGTCTCAAAACAAAAACAAAACAAAACAAACAAAAACCCCACTAATCTAGAGGAACAAGCCTCAGGTTATTTCTAAGAGGCTAGCTCTGTATTTATGTGAGACAGAAGTACAGATCTAGGAAGATGTGAGGTCGTGAGAAGCTGTCTAAAGAATTGATGTTTGTAAGCCAAGTCCTAGTCCAGAATTCTAAGAATGACAGGTTAAGGGAAAACTACAGAGAAAGCTTAAAATAACATCTACAAAGCTCACAGCAGCAATTGTGATGAACAGGAACCTAGAGAAGGCCGAAGAATTATTTTTCACTGCATAGCCTTTTGTATCATTTCATGAAACACCTTTACAAAGAAGAGAAATAATCCTTAGTATTTGAAAGTATAGGAAAATTCTGGGGATATGTTTTCGGAAGTATTTAGAATGGTATGCACAAATTGACTTCAACTCTGAATAAATACGTGTATATGAAGAAAGACACTCTGTGAGATTTTGGGCAATCCAGTAAGATATCTTAGGGTGAGTCATTTGATAGAATAAAACTAAACCTGGTGTGGTGGTACACACCTGTAATCTCAGCCCTCAGGGGATTGAGGCAGAATTGCCTCAAATTTGAGGCCAGCCTGGGCTACATAGTTCAAGGGCAGCCTGTGCTACAAAGCAAGACTCTGCCTCAAAACACAACAAAACACAATAAAATGAAAAGTGTGGTATATGTACCTCAGGTAATCCAAAGGATGAATTTAGGTTTTACATAGATTATGGTCCTATTGATTTTAATATTGTTGCGTTTATTTTTGTGAAGACCTTTTTGGCATATACCACAAAGTTTTCACATATGAAAGCAATATAGTTTCCTTTTCAAATAAGTTTTTCTTAAAGTGAGTCAATTTAAAGGAAGATAAATCAATAGAGCCTAAGGCAAGGCCTGGGCCACACTGGGAGCTCCAGAGCTGTGTTCTGAGTTGGGATGTCTCCACTTGAGTGTCAGCCTGTCCCGCAATACCAACTTGTACCAGCAGCCAGAGACAGAGGGGGAGAGAGGAAGCCAGATAAGTCTAGTTCAGCATCAAACACATTTATTTCACTTTTATTGAGTATACAAGAACAGAGAGCACACGCATACAGCACAGAGCACTGAGGTCGGGGGGAGCGTGGGGACAAGAGAGGAGAAAGGGGTGTGAATAAAAAGGACCAGGACAGCAGTGCAGTTGGTTGGTAAGGTGCTTTTGAACAAAATTAGAGTGATGTCGCTCATGCAATTTCAGGCCAGTCTTGGAATGTGCTTGCAGGATTCAAAAACAGAAACAGGTCTTGGCACTTCCTGTACTCTCAGATGGAAAAGATCCAGAAAAAGCAAAATGAGAACAAATAAAGGTCTGTAAGATGACAGAGTGGAAAAAACCCCTGGAGAGCTTTTAGTTTACACCACTCATATCGCAAGTGGGGAAACTGAGGCTCCAAAGAGGAATGAGGCTGGCCCAGTGTCACATGGTGAGCTAGGGGCCGAGCCAGGATGGTCACTCAGAATCCTGACTGCTCTCTCAGACTCTTCCCACTCTACCTCCTGGCCTCTTGGATGGGGAGGTGGCACACAGAGGATGAGAAAGTGGCAAAAAGGAAAATAGGTTGAAGACAGATGAGACAAACAGTTCTATTCTCTGTGGAGAGGAGGATGGGGAGGAAACAGTGCCCTAGATTTCAGCCTCGAAGTCCCCTCCTCCCTGGTGGTGCTGCCTGCCTCTCCATGGCAGGAGGGTCAGAGCATCCATGGGACGGGGCCTCCCCAGACTCTGGTGGCCTACAAGCTAAGCTTGGTCACTTCAACCCTGCCCTGTCAGCAGGTGCAAACCCCAAAACAGTCTCCCTCTGAGGTGTGTCCACTACGCTCAGGACACCTGGTGCCTGCAAAGATAGGAAGACCTGAGCTGAATTCCCAGTAGTCCAGAGGAGGTGGAGCCACTCCAGCTCCTGGCCCAGAAAAAGTGGGAGGTCTCTGGTTGAAAAGGGCAGGAAGGAGGTTCTGTGGCTTCTCCACCAGGACTGCACAAAGAACCTGGTGCTGGGAAAGTATGCTGCTGCACTCACGGGCCTGCACTGAGGGGACGTGGCTGACTTTGTCATCTGACAGCCTCACTGTTTCCCATGTGCCCGCAGAGACAGAAGCTATTTTAGTTTCCTGCCCTGCTTTAGACCAGCACCAGCTCAGTAGCTAAATGTCACAGGGTGACTGATAAACAAGCCAAGGGGTGCATCTGGCCTGGGCCCTTTGGGGGACTTCCCTGGGCAATAGCCAACAAGTTGGAGGGAAAGGGAAATGCTGTCAGGTGTGCCAGCCACGGTTGGGACTATAAGGCTGGCCACGTGGCTTCCTGGGTCCCTCCTCCCCCTTCACACTTTCTTCTTCAGCCTGAGAACAGTGCCTGGCATGAGTGCTTACTCAATAAATATTTCTTGAATAAATTTATCAACTGGGAAGTGAAAGCAGGCTGAAAAACTAAAGCACTATGGGACATTTTCCCTCAGTAAGGGACACTCCTGAGCTCAAGGAAGTGGCTTGTGGCAAGTCTGAGGGAGCCCACATGTGCCAGAGGGCAATACCGAGCATGTGACAAGTTTTCTCCAAGGGCTCCTGTGGTCTTGGAGCAATTTTGGGGACTCCGAGAACACAGGCTGCAAGCTCAGAGGCTGACTGAAGGGGAGGTCTCCCAAGCCAGGGTCTGTTACAAAGACAGGGTCTTTGGGCAACACTGTCTTCCCCCTCTATTGTCCTGGGGTAGGTACGGGGTTTGGAAATGCAATTTTGATCTGTGAGGGGCTGCCCTGGGTTCATGGCCTTTTTGGCGGAGAAAGAAGGGACTGATTCAGAATATGGAAGAGGAGGAAGAGAGGATTGAGCTGGGCATTTTCAAAGAGCCAGGTTAAAGCCACTATCTTCTACCTTGGCCAGGGCACCACCTCCCTTTAGGGATGGAGCTCTGTATGGTCAGGGAAGGGCAAGACATGGCAAAAAGATAAAATAAGAAAACACAACAAAGAAAGAGAAAATTGAAAACCAAGGTAAGCCCCTTAGGGAGGTAGGAGGACTGAGCAAAGGGACCTCTCCTGTGGGGTCTCAGCAGCAGAGTCCTGACTCCAGACTCCATGTCTTGGGCACAGACCAGGCCCGGCTGCTACTGCTGGGGAGAAGGCATTTTGGGTCAGCATGTTCAGGACCGTATCTGTGTTTCTCCCTCTTGCCGAACCCCTGCCTCCGCTGGAGGGGCCCCACTCTCCCCGCCAACCACCCAATTACAAACACCACACACAGTATTACTACACTGAACCTGTCAGCCCCTACTGGGAGCCAGCCACACCCAGAGTTCAGGTCTCCTCAGCTGGGCCAGTTCAGCAAGATCTAGGAACCTTGGGATACATCAATCACAGTCTGATAATTATAATTTTTAAATGTCAGCTTCATACTTACCAGCACTGTTTATTTTAATATTTGTTTCCTGTTATATGTAATATACGTAACTTAAAAGCACATCCATACAAATCCCCTATGAGCTGCACCTTCGTCATGAGAAACCAGAAACATACAATGTCTACTTCCCTTCCTGTGGCTTTATTTTCTATTCCTGCTTTCTTTTCTTTTTCTCAGTTCAAAGAGTCATCTGCAGTGGCCCTCAGCAGGACCAGAACACAGAGGGGAAGGTGTGTGCACAGGGAAGGGAGCTGGGACAGAAAATGACAAGACACGCGAGAGTTGAGGGCGAGGGAGGGTAGAAGAAAAGAAGGTGGATTTTGCAGCCCAGTGTCAAGACCCAGAAAATAATAATCCAGTGTTCCTCCTCCTCCAAGTGGGAGATTTTTTTTCTTTCTTTCTCAGAAAATGGTTGACTGTGCATGTCTTGCTGCTGCAACTTCTCTTGCTTGGCTGCACCACCCTTTTCCTTTGCATTCAAGGGGCAACAGAAGATCAATGGAAAGCTCAGCCACTAACTGGCCCGGGTGCAACCAGGGCTGAGTGGTGCTTCTACAATCATCGTGGTCTGGCTTGCTTTTATGGTTTGCAGGGCAAAGGGAGGAACAAGGAATCGTGGTCGTTATCATTTTTTTTCTCCCCCGAAAAGTCTCACCAATTCTTCGATTTTTCTGCAAAGGAAATGTGGGCTATTGCAGAGGTGGGTTGTTGCTGTTGGCCAACTGCTCCGCCAGCCCCAGCAGCAGTGCAGAACGCGGTGTTTCCTGTATATATATCTATATCTATATATATCTATGTATATATGCTTTTCCCTTCCCAGTCTCTTGTGAATGACAGTACGATGCAGCTGGGACATCAGTGTTGGCATTGGAGAATCCAGAATGAAGGCCCCTTCTTAATGGTTCTCTGGCTTGGGTTGGACCAGACATGCCAGCATCTCTTCACGGAGGTCAGGATTCCTGGAGGCCAGAGGCAGTGGGGAAGGGGGTGTACAGGCAGGGGGAGAAAAAGAGCAATTAGTAACTTTTGTCACCCACATTTCAGTATACAGCAAGAAACTCTTTTACCTACCTTTTATTATATGAACTTTATTGTGACTCAGAGAGTCAGTGACTTGTCCACAGCCACACAGCTTGGTGTGTGGCAGCTGAGAACTGACCCATGTCCCCCTACTGCAAAGCCCTAGTGTGTTTGCTTGTTTCCAGGGAAGTGGTGTCTTTTACCTCGGCCTGAAATTGTGTTAAAATGGCCTTTACTGATGAGAACTGAAGGTCACAATCATTTCCCTTTTTCTCCCTGTCTTTTTCTCAGTTCTATAAAATGTGTAGTCATTCTTGCAGGCGTTTCTGTCTTCACTTCTTTCTCCTTTCTGTTCCCCCAGGGTCTACTGTAGTTTGGAGATTAAACCCTAGAGAGCAGTGTTTAAAGTAAGGAAGCAGAGCCTGGATTTTCAAGTTTAACTTCCAAACTCAGCGTTTAATGGTATGGACTCTGCAATCAGATTCTCTGAGTTCAAATCTCACTCCCCGGCCTGCTAGCTCTGTAACTGTAGATGAGCTTCTTAACCTGTCTAAGCTCCAACTGCTTCCTCTGCCAAATGGGTTCTGCCTTACACAGTTAAGTGAGGAATCACAGCAAGGGCCTAGTGCCCGGTAAGTGCTGAATGAACGCCTCCCCTCACCCTGCCCCTCCCCCCCGTACCAAGAATTGAACTCAGGATCTTGCACTTGCCAGGCAGGCATGGTGCCACTGAGCTAAATCTCCAGCCCCCGAATGTTATTACTACTATTGCTGCTGTTACTTTAACTGTAGCCCTTGTCCTGATTCCCCGAAGGGCAAGTGCTACCTTTTCCTATCAATGTCATTTCGGCACCAGCACTGTGCCTGGAACATGACAACTACTCAAAAACGTTTAGCACATGGAATATCATTTTTGCCTCTTGCCACTCACATATGGTCAAGTTACTAATGAGGGTGTTGAAAAAGGGACCCTTCTCGGCTTATCTGACAGATGCAAAAGCTGAATCCCAGAGGGTTCAATGATTTAGCAAGGTGGCAGAACCAACACTACAATCCAAAGTTCCTGTTTGCAACAGGTCAGTCTCCCCCCAGGAAGTTCCAAGTTGGAAATTAAGAAAGCTCTAGAACGCTGAACGAGTACCCTCTTGCTGTCAGTGTTTGGGTGACAAGACCTCTCTGTAGGAGGCAGCCTGGAGGTGAAGATGGAACAAAAACTACATGTGTGGCCTGAGAGGTTGCAGGAGAGGAGAAAAAGGCTCTGTGTGAGATGGGCATGTTTTCCACACTCATGGCAAGAACTTAAAGGGGAAAGATGTTTAAGAAGGCCAAGAACCAACTGGAGCAGGGACAGATATTTCTGGAGGACTTAGGGATAGAAGAGAACAGAAAGAGCAGCAAGATGGATACTTTTGTAGAAAGGACCTTGGACACCAGGCTAGTGGTGAAGTCTACAGTCGGACTTACTCAGGGCTCCCACTGTCCTTAAATACAGCAAAACCTCAGAGGGACAAAGAAGCAGCTGTACCCTGCTAAGCCTCTTCTCCGTGCAGGACACCATGCCTTTATATCCCAGATGTTATTCAATTATTATGGAACTCCAATTTATAGGAAAACACCATTTTACTAATGGGGAAACTGAGGCTGAGGGAAGTTCCTTCGGCCACACACTTATGCAGGTATTCTTGGCTCCAAAGCCTGGGTGTACTTTTTTCTACTCAACTCTGCTACATCTTTTTTGTTTGTTTGTTTTGGTTTTTTTTGTTTTGAGAGAGGGTTAGCCTGGGTGTACTTTTTTCTACTCAACTCTGCTACATCTTTTTTGTTTGTTTGTTTTGGTTTTTTTTGTTTTTTGAGACAGGGTCTCATTATGTAGTTGAGACTGACCTGGAACTCACTATGTAGCCCAGGCTGGTCTCGAACTCACAGCGATCCTCCTGCCTCAGCCTCCCCAGTGCTAGGATTACAGGCATGCCACCACACCAGGCTTTCCTCTACATCATAACTGGGTATTTTTTCTCATTACATTGCCAGGACACACATTAAGTTTGTTCATTGATATTGGTGGCTGCCTGTAAATCTGTGTAATTAGACTTCTGGGTAGGTGAGATATCTCCACAAGACCATAGACACTTCAGAGGCACCAGAGGGATCTAAACAATACTGTAGTATAATTTATTTTTCTCAGTTTATAACAGCAGAGTCCCTCCATGCAGTATTTGTTGGCCTACTTTGAGTTCATGGTAATGATATTCACACTGAACTATTACCGAGCACATTCTATGTGCCAGGTATATATATGCATGATCTGCCAGCCCTATGGGGTAGTCAGTATGGTAAGGCAGTTAAGTCATTAGGTGCCTCTGGAATTAACAAGTTAGGTTTGACCTCTAATCAATCCATCATGATCATAGCTTTATGATTATGAAAAAGCCACTTACTGTCTCTGAGCCTTGTTTCTTTATTTGCAAAACAAATGAGCAGATAACCGTACTTATGTCAAGTGCATTGCCTGGTGTCTGGCACAGAATGAGCACCCCAAAAACAGTGGCAGTGGTTGTTACTCTGGCCATCACTGCCATTTGGAGAATTAAGAAACACTTCCTGACCATGTTAAATAACTTGCTCAAGATCATACAGCTAAGAAAGAGCAGGGGTTGAAACTGGAATTCCGTGTGCAGCACCATGGAGCTCTTCTGTGGGATGCCGACTTGCACGTATCTGCAAAGCCAGTGTTTTTTAAGCATCTTAAGAAGGAGTTTTCTAATTCAAAGATGATTTCTCCCTAGAACTAGTCAGAGGTGGCTCCTACATGCCAGTAACTCATGGTAAAGCACGTGGGTGGAAAAGGCAAGGGAGAGACTGCTGCTTCTCCAGGGTGATCCAGAAGGGAGAGGGGTATGTGGTAGGGTGTAGGGGCAATGGCGTCAAAGAAAGAACTGAGGAGGAGGGAATGAGACAGCAGAGGGGCTAAGAGGAGGACTTGAAAACCTGCAAGGCCGTGGGGGCAGGCTGGGTGGGAAGGCTGGGCCGAAAGCTTCCAAGCCCAGGGAAACAGGAAGGTAGGACCTGGCTGTGAATGTCCAGGGAAGGCTGAGGAAGGCCGAGAAAGAAAAGAAGAGACGAGAAACACACGACAGACACCCCCTGGAAAGTGAGGCAGCTGAGTTCCCACGAGGGGGTAACTGGTGCACGCACACCCGTGGGATGGCGGTAGAGCCACGTCCCTGCACTCCCAGTACAGAGCGCTTAGAATTAGTGACTCCTGTATCTGGTCACACAGGGACTCCCTGAGGACCAAAGGATAAACAAATGGTTCCGAGCAATGATTCCAGCCCAGCTTTTCCAAATCAGACTATGGTGAAAGTTCTTTAGTATTTTTTTCTAGTATTTTATTGAATACAGGAATCCAAGGCTTTATTCCACTTTTAGTTACCCCAAGGCATCTATAGGTCCAAGAGATGATTCTGTGCATTTTAGCAAAAGCAGCATTTATGTACCTGTATGAGCTTCCCTAGGTGGTGCAGCAAGCTCTACCTCAGCTTGGCCCGTGATCACCTTCTACCATGCTGAGATTTGGTGGATGTGAGAAAGCAAGAACAAGTAGATTACTGAGGAGACAGGAGTGACAATAACTTGCATCAAAGTATGAGTAGGGCTGACAGAAAAGCCTTAGCCTTGACCAACTTAGCTTCTAGATCATTGCTGACCAATAGGAACAGTGTGTGTGTGTGTGTGTGTGTGTGTGTGTGTGTGTGTGTGTGTGAGAAAGCTTAGCCCACTATATCTATTATCATCTCAACATGTCATCAGTATTAAAAATTATTGAGATAGTCTACATCCTTTTTTGTTATGTATAGACTGGGGACATGGAGCTAAATCCCCACTGATTTTCATTTATTTTGAGATGAGGTACTGCTAAGTTGCCCAAGCTGGCTTCTAGCTTGTGATCGTCCTGCCTCAGCCTCCCAAACAGCTGGGGGTACAGAGGTGCACAAGCACACCCACCTATTTATATTCTTTTATGTTCACATTCAATCTTCAAAAATCTTGCATGTATTTCACCCTTAAAGTACATCTCATTATGGACTAGCCAATTTCAAATATGGCTTATTCCAGCTATCACATTGGATAGCACAAAAAGAATATTTCCTGCAGTGCAGAAAGTCCTACAGGACAGGACTGGTCTATACCATGGGTCATCAGTCTTTCAAAGCAACAGGAAAATATTTCAGCACTTTTTCTTCTAACATTAAGGAGACAGCAATCAAAGGAAGAGAAAGAAACATTTGCATGTCTTTCTAGAAAAGATCAATTTAATTTATTGAAGGCAAAGTCCCAATGGAGACCAGTTTTGTTGTTTTGGCAGTACTGGGAATCAAACCCAGGGCCTCTGCACTGAGCTGCATCCTCAGCTCTTTTTTATTTTTAATTTTGAGACAGGATCTCACTAAGTGACTACTAAACTCCCCGGGATGGGCTTGAACTTGTGATCCACCTGCCTTAGCCTCCCAGAGTACTAGAGATCAGATATTATTTCTGGGGTCTTTGAGGAAGGAACTTGTTTTCATTGTAGAATAATATGTGTAAAGTGCACAAATCTGTGTCAATAAGAACTTGCCTTTTTTGTTTTTGTTTGGCCAATGAGGTCATGTGTGTGCCTCCACCTGTCCTCCTCGACCCCAATTATCAAGTTTCTGCCCCCTTTTGCTTCAGCTTCTGGATTCACTCTTCTGGGTCTGAGGCCTGAAACCTCAAAGAAAACAGGAAAGTAGTCTTCCTTCCCCTCTTCCCTCTGACTTGCATGCGGGAGCTGCCTCACCTTTGAGCTAGCTGCACACCAGGCAGGTGACAGAGTTGAAGCTGTACCATGTATAAGCCACTTGGATTATCAGGTAGAAGTGATCCTTTGAGGATCTTGCTGCTGCTTCTTCCTTCCTGCTGAGCTTTGGAGCCTTACCTGTGGCTTCTTGTCTCTCTCCTCCGGGGATGGATCTGTTTCTCTGTATACCACAGCTTTGGTTACCAGCATGTCAGGGTGCTGCAGTTTAGCTTCCTTGATGGCCAAAGCCAGGGCCTGGTGGATAGAACAAAGCAAAATGAGTCACCATGGGACAGAGAATATGAGAGAAACTGGAGGACACAAACCCTTTGGTGCACATCTTGGGAAACAGGCCCAGGACAGCAAAAATCATCTGGTTAGAGGGAAAGACTAGGACTCAGATCTGGCCTCTTCTGGCTCCCAGTCAATGCTGTTTGCTTGGGGGATCCTAATCTGAACAGTCAGGAAGAAGCAAACATCTCTGCCCAGGGGTTCATGGATCATCCCCATACCTGGTCTTGATCGACATCTTCATCCCCAGTAATGATGATTCGCTTCTCGATCCTCGTCTCAGAAAACCCTCCCTTCACAGTCTGCAGAAAGAGTAAGAAGGAAAGGGAGGGACAGGGTGGTTACTTTTGGTCTGCTGGGGCAGCACGTTTGACAGGGGACCTACCCAAAGCATCTCGTGCGGAGAAAGCGGAGAAGCAGCAGTTCCCTTCCCTCCTGGCTTCCTAAGCCTTTTCTAGGTTTGGAACTTCAGACAGTAGATCTGGCCTGGCTGCCACTGTTCCCCCAACTACCCAACTGTCCCGTATCCGTGTTCCAAGTCCAGCTCAGATGTTCACTCCCTAATCTCGGCTAGCAGTGCCTCAAGGCCATCCGGCCTTGCTGCTCCCTGAGCACAGAATCTGTATCCTTCACAGTCCCAGACCGCTGCCTGGTGCTGAACTTGTGTGTGTGTACTCGGCCTTGCTCACCTCACCACGCTGTTTGTTCCTGAGGGCAGGACCTATATTTCCTGATGTCTGCATCCCCTTCTCCCTACCAGCTTGCCCAATCTGACCAGGGAAGTACTGAATGCAGATCTGTCGAATGAACACATGAATGAAATGTGAATGGTGACAAGGTTCTATCTCAAATGACTTAGAACAATACTACAAGAGAAGATTGTATTGATGATACTTATTACCTCCACTGTTTTCTGAAGGGCTGGGATTTGGGAGAAAGTTCAGAAGTAAAAGATGGGGCAGGATCTCACTGTTTGACATATTTAAGGAGAGTGTGGCTGAGGGAAGTTGTAGCTGGAGTCAGGAAAGGGTGGACAAAAAAAAGAGGGGCACCCTGGTGGTGGCGCCAAGAGGGACTCTGGGAAGGAGAGCATTCTGAGCTGTACGTTGTAAGCTATGTGACCTAAGACCTTCCCATAAAGCCTGCAACAGAGTCAGCATTGCTCACTAATGCTTTTGGTGTGAAGGTTCTTTCTGATTAGCTGAGAAAGTGCCGAGTCCTGCACAGGAGTAGTCAGGGGCTGGGACAGAGTCTCTGTGCACAAAGACCCAATGCCACGAACCAGACTTTCCGTGCAATGGCTCAGCAGGACCTCCACTGTATACAGCTGGGCTCGGCTTGGCTCCTCCAAGGCCTTCAGCCCTGGATGGGCCCTCTCCTACCTTCCTCTTGACCACTGAGGTATGGACACACAGCCAGTCTCTCCCAACACTTTGTCCCCACTGGCTGTATCATAGCTGATAGCCTCAGGACTGCCTCCTTCCTCTTGCTTTTCCTCCGTCTCCTACTCCAACTCCCACCTGACCTAGACCCCTGTGAGACAGGGTCTCACTATATCTTTCAGGCTGGCTTTAAACTTACTACGTAGCCCAGGCTGGCCTCCCGACTGCTGGGATTACAGGTGTGCACCACCACGCCTGGCCTCGGCCTGACTTCTTCTCAGGCTCTATCGCCCTCCTTTCTCCCAGATGTCTGAATCTCCTGGTGGACCAAACATCCTCTCCATAAGCCTATTTGTACTTGGTCACTGTGCAGCTAAAAACCTGCCTGGCTCTGCAATTTCCCTTAGCCTCAGCTCTTCCGTGGTCAAATCTGTCCTGGTACCTCTTTTCTCTGCCTCCATATTCTGCTTCTTCTGTCCCTAGTTCAATCCAACTTCCCAGTTTCATGCTCTACACCACTGCTTCCCTGTTCCCCACGAACACGCCTGACTGATGCAGCCTCCAGCAGCCTTGCAGAGCACAGAGGCTGGCATAAGGTTGCTGCTCGCTAGCATTTGTTCAGTGAACAAAGAAGGAAATACGCACAGTTTCTGCTCCATCTTCTGCTTTGCCTGCCACTGTCTTCCCCCTCAGATGTCCTACCTGGCTTCCAGGGCCCTGATGAAATTCTACTTTTTCCAGGAGATACTTTATGACTCTTTGGGAACTTCCAGCACAACATACCCTCTAAATTTCTCCAGCACTTAATGTCTGTAAGGTGCACGTGCCATGGTTTGTGATTACTTCAAAAAAGAGGGTCTCATCCCCCGTCCTGGCTGTCAGTGTTGTTAGTTCAGGGCTCAGGCTTAGGACGAGAGCAGCACGGGACAAAGCACACAGCACTCTAGAAACTGGCGATGCCACAGGTCTCCTTTGTTCACCTGCCAGACTGAGAAGCCAAAGCCAAGCCATGGTAATGACCTTCCCACTTGCAGCCCACTGGGGCCCGGGGTGCCTGCTACTACTCACTTTGGTAACATGGGTGGTGGTAGAGGTTGAGAGGGTTTCCGCAGTGGCGCCGTAGGTGCTGGTGAGGACATCTTTCCCGATGATCTGCAGAATATAACCACCCCCACCCCGGGCATCAGGTCAGGATACTGGGCTCTATAGCCGTGGGCAGGGCAGGGAAACCCAGGGGCAAGCAGGGGCCCATGGAAATGAAATTTGGTAGCCAAGATGCTTTGAACCATTGAGAATTCAAGAATACCAATCTTCAGGATCCCAGACCCATACAATTTTCAATGTAGGAATCTGAGATTCCTACAGCCTGAGATTCCTGAGGCTCAGGAGCCTAATAACATTCTAGAATCCTGGAATCCTAAAGGAATGACTAGAGAGATCCAAGGTAGAGATGTAGGCCTCCCAATCTCTCATCCTGTCACATCCAGGAGCATGTTCTCTCCGGAGCTAGACGATGCGAACAACAGTCTTCGAGAATCAGTGAACTGGAAAAGACCTCACAGACAGACTCAGAGTTTCGGGCAAGGCAGCCACAACAGTGCCAGGCTCAGAATCCAAGTCTTGGACTCCCAGTCCATCGCTCTTCCCCAATGGCAACTAGGGTGGATACCAAAGAGCTATCACAGGCACCCCAGAGTGACGGCCACCTACCATCATACTACCTATGTCCTGCTTACACATGACAGGGAAAACTGAGGAGACACTGGGCCAGGAAGCCTGTGGACAGCTGAAAACGTGCCTGTTTCTTCGTGCTGCACTTAAAAGGGCGCTTTCTGAGCCCAACCTATACTTGCTGTGGGCCACATGTGGGCCCATGCCCATGTTCTCAGCTCCAAGTCCCCTAGCCTGAGCTGACCCTGTCCACTTACCGGAGAAAGAGAACGGATTTCCGTGGCCACCGTCTGTGGGCCTGGGCTCATGGCAGCTGCCCCCTTCCCGGACTTGAGACTGTTCTCCTGGGGAAACAATAGTGCTCAGAGGGCCAGGTCTGACGTGCGCAGGCCCCCAGGATGGCTGGAGCACATGACCACGTGGCTCTCACAGCCACAAGGTTGGGTGGTAACACAGAAGCAGGGAACTGAAGGCATCATCCAGTTCAGCCTCCCGTTCACTCCCTGCCCGCTCCTTCTTAGACGCAGCTGTGCACTCACTCACACGCTCACTCGTTCGGCACAGTTACTCACTGAACAAACATATACCGAGTGCCTGGCATCGGGGGCACTGTGGTGAACAAGACATGGTTTTGCTCTCCAGAAGCACTAATGAGGGAGTTGGAACATCTGGGTTCTGGTCCTGGCCCTGCCACGTTCTAGCCACGTGGCCTGGGGCACAGCCACTTCTTCCCCACATTCCCATGGATTCATCTGTAGCCAGGGATCCCTGCTCTCTCCTATAGACACCTCATGAAGATAACAGAGGGGAAAGGGCTTCACAAACCAAAATCTGTAGGGTAGGTATAGGGGCAACAGGCTGACCATGAACAATATTATAACTAGCGTTTTCTGAGTATTTGCTGTGTGCTAGACATTATTTTAAGGACAATATGTCCATGATTTTATTTGATCCTGTGACAATTATAGGAAATTGCTTCTAATATCCTGTTTTATAGATGAGGAACAGGAGTGCTGAAGCATGTTAAATGGTCTGTTCAAGTCCCCCAGCAAGTCAGTAGTAGAGCCGGAAATTAACATCACACCGGGCAGACCCCAAGTCCAACAGGCACTTGTGTTCTGTACCACTGCTCTACCCCTGAGATTCTCATTCTTGAGCCAGCCCTTCTGGTCCCATCTGGGTCCCTGAATTAGTTCCCCATGTCTACCCAGGGCACAGCTCTCCACTGCCCACTACTTCTGCACCACCTTTGCGCTCAGCTTTGTCAGTTCAGGGCTCCAGCACTGCCCACTCTGCAAATCCTTAGCCAATTGACTCCAGACCTCATCCGTGCATGGCACCCGAGCCGGCCCTCCATCTGCCTGCCAAGGAACAGGGAAGGACAGAAAGCCCTTGCCTCTTTCCCGCTTTCCCTCACATGGTTCCTGCTGAGGCTGTCGGTGACCTGGTCACTTGGCAGAGGCACCTGGAATTCCAGAATGTGAAGGCAACTTCAGGCTCAGTGTTTCTTTTTCTAGAACAGCCACCCGCCCCTTGGAATCCTACTGTTACTTGGGCCATTCTCCCATAAAACCTCTTACTCCCTCACTGCTCCCTTTCCCCAGGGCCAAGTTTCACCTCCACCTTCACACTGAAAGGAGAGGCCACCAAGTGGGACACAAGTTGTTTAAAGCAAAGGTACTACTTCTCCTCCCCACCCCTCAGGTATCCTCAGCCAGTCCCTTCTTTCTCTGGACAACACAATCCCTCACGTGCCACACTCAGACACTCAAGGGCTTCTGCTGCGTCACGGAGAGGCCCAGGTGTCCTACCCCTTTACCTGTAGCCAGATCTTCTCAAATCCTAGACCTTTAGGACCAACTGTCTCCAGGACCTATTCCTAGAAATATCCCGTATGTATCTCACAGTCACCAAATCTCAAATAGAACCAGCTGCCTCCTCCACTGATACGTGAAGTGCTCTCTGTTTATACCAGGTGTCAGGTGTCACTTGAGGCGGATCCTATCGCTGGGCCTCTCCAAATTTCTGAGTCCAGAGGTCTGAAGCAGAGCACAGTGCCAGGGACCATGCTGTAAGAACCCCTGGCCAGAAAACAGCACCCCCATTCCGTGTTTCCTCCTGTCACCTGAGTCTTCTACCAACAACCTAATCCTTCCAGACCTCCTGAACCCCAGGCCTGCCCTGGCTGGACGACAGCCCCTACCCTACCTCCCCACCTTCTCTTTATGTTTGTCTGGCATGGGCCCCAGAGCTCAGGAAGCTTTGTCTTCTCAGTGCTGGGATCACAGTGGCTGGCAAAGCACTTCACACGTTCAGGGTGTTCAATAAACATTTAGCAAAGGGAGGGAAGAAGCAGGAAGGAGGGAAGGAAGGAGGAGGGAAGAGATGTTTGCTTCGGTCCATGCTTCACACAACTTGTTTTTCTCTCTAAGACACAGAAGCATACACCATCACGCCCCTACTTTAAAAATGTGATTCCCCCTTGTATCCAGAATGAAGCTTGAACTTCATTCATGACACCGGAGGCCTCTGAAGCTCTGGGCCCGCCCTTCTTTCCTGCTTCTTGTCCCCATGCTCCTCCTGCACACACTTGACACCTGGCTTTGCTGACCGCCTGTCTCTCCCCAAACACCGTGCTCCTTCCTGCTTCTGCCCTTATACCTGTGCTTCCCACTGCCGAGGATGCCTTCTCCAGCGGACACCCGTTAGTCCGTGTTTCAGGCACAGCTCAACCGTTCCCACCTGGGTGACAACTTCCCCAGCGCCTCCTGGCCGAGGCAGCACCTGTAACTGTCCTCCTAAGGGTCCTCAGGCTAGCTTTATGACACTGTTACATGAGGGCAGGAAAGGAACAGTGGCAGTTCACATCGATAGAGCACTTCCCATGTGCTAGGCATTGCTCTCGGAGCTTTGCACAGATACTTTAAGTTCGATCCCTTTGAAGTATGTGTATTACTGCCTCTGCTCTGTTTTATGGAAGCAGAAACTGAGGCTTGGAGAGGTTCAGGTGACTCGCCCAAGGTCACCCAGCCAAGAAGTGGGAGAGCTGGACCTTGTTCACCACTGTGCACCCAGGACCTACATACAAGTGGCACAATACACGACTCAGTACGGGTGCTCATGACAATGATAAGAAATAAATCCTGGCAGGCAGTGTTTTTTTTTTTTCCAACTCTGTATCCCCATACCAGGCAGACAGTAGAGACTCGTCAGTGTTACTGGAACAGATGGATGGATGGATGGATGGATGAGTGGACGGATGGGTGAATGGATGGGTGATATTACTGCCTGCTCACCACATGGACAAATTTAAATTTAGTCCTACAAGGATGCCAATGCCCCATGGTGAAGGGCTGGGGGAGAGGAAGAACTATGTGACCAGGGAGACATGTGCAAGCTGGTAACTTGTTTCAGCTTATTAAAACATTTGTTTATTCAAAACCCACCTCCTAAGGAGTCTAAATTAGTGGAATTCTCTTCTCATGTTTGTCGAGGATTGGCAAGAGAAATCAATTAAAAAGAACTCTCAATAGCCTGAGATAAGTCTGGATCAGGCATTGATTGCTATCTTTAGAACAGCTGATATTAAAAGTGGGGCTTCCGGTATCAGAACACCTGGAGTTAACCTGGCACTACCACTTACTGGTTGTGTGACCTTGTTTTTGTTTGTTGTTTGTTTGTTTGGTACCAGAGATTGAACTCGGGACCTTGTGCTTGCAGGGCAGGCAGCTGAACCACGGAGCTAAATCCCCAGCCCTGGTCGTGTGACTTTGAGTAAGTCACTTTTCCTCTCTGTGCTTTAGTTTCCTTAAAAGTAAAGGATGTAGAAGAAAAGACCATCCACCTCAGCTTCATAATCCATTCATTGTTCTTAGCATACTGCCTGGCCCCATAACCTGTGTGCCAAATGCTCTCTGTTGTATTTTATTATCAAAGTCCCTGTGAACTAGGCCGAATGATGATTATTCCCATTTTACAGACAAGGACACCTGAGGCAGAGGATCTTCCTTCACGTCGGACAGCAAATAGCTGAATCACAAGGTTCCTTGGGGAGTAAGACATTCTGTGTCCAACTCTGGTTCACTACCGCCATCTACTGACCGTGGTGAGGAAGTGGCCTGAGACGGGAGAAATCACAGCCACCAAGAGGGTGGGTCCCCAGGGAGGATTTGCAGGCTCATCTTCCGCGTGGAGGTGAGATTCGCCAGTGGAATCTCATGATGGCCACTAAGAATCAAATAATACTATCCTCCCTCCGTTTCTGCATGGCTGAGATGGTCCAGATACAAAAGATGCAGGGTTTTTACCTCCTGTTATTCAGTTGCAAAAACTGGTTTGATGCCTTGTCTGGGGGTAAATGAGGTATCAGATGACAGCACACCTTTGACTGTGTGTCTCATGTCTGATGTTGTGAAGGCAGCAGAGGGCTTGCTGAAGCAGCCAGACAACATTCCTTTGTTATGTGGCTGTTTTAGGGGGCAGTGGGGCTGGTCCGAGGAGGAAGCCTCCTGCGCTCCACTTACCATGGTGGTCGAGATGGTCTCTGTGGTGATGGAGGGGGTAGTTGTCATGAACTCCTTCCCCAGGGGGGCACTCCCGTCAACCTGCTGGTCAGATGAGGAGCAGTTAGGGACCTCCCGTGGCATCTGCCACCCAAGCTCATGGCATTTGCAGTTAGAGCAACAGGCTGTGCAAGTGAGCATGTTCAGGGTGGTCCACACAGAACTACAGAGGTGTCTCCCAGGCTCACCCTTCATTTTATTTCAACTGTTTTATATGACAAATTCTATCCAAATCTCCGTGCACACAACCTTTGATCTAGCAATCCATAGGAATTTAACCTTTGGATATGAGCTTTGAAAAGTTCACCAAGAAATATGAACAAGAAAGTTCACTGCAGCGCTGATTTTTTTTTTCAGCACTGATAACCTGCAAATGACAAAAACCACCACATAGTCCATAGCGAAGTAAAGTAGGACTTGCTTTCTAAGTGAGAATAAGAAAAGTAAGGTGGGAGCTGGGCATGCCGATGCGTGCACGAATGCAGAGGCTGAGGTAGGAAGATCACAAATTTGAGCTTAGCCTATGTGATTTAGCCACTTAGCAAGACTCTGTCTTCAAATAATAAAAAAAGATGAGGGGAGGCTGTGGATGTAGCTGGGTTTAACCTCCAGTACTGAAACAGAAAGAAAGAGAGTAAAATGGGCACAATGCCAATTGGGAGTGATTTCCAACATATTTACTAAGAAAACAAAGGAAAGGTGTAAAACAGAATGATCATTGGTGTAAAATTTTTAAGTATATAAAGCTGTAGGTATCTACACTGGAAGGTGCACACATTTTTTTCTGGGAGGCAGTATAAGAAACATTTCATTTAGTTCTATTTGATTTTTATAACTGTGGACTTTATTGTTTTGTGAGATTTCAGGTCATTTTTAGTTTATCATTTTCTGTATGAAAACAAAACAAAAGATACTAAGACAAAGCAGGGCAGAAAGGAAATGCAGCCTGCTCATGGTAACACAGCTCATGAGAACTCAGAAAATTCTAGAAATGACAGTTGTCCATGTTATTGATTTAAATCTTATTCCCCTCCCCCTCC